TGTCTTTCCACTTGGCACAGCTAGCTACTTATTTCTACTACAGTGATAGTGACTTCCTAGGAAACCAGAGGATCATTAGCACTTCAGATGCTCTGCAACCAGTTAAGGTACCAGGTTCTTCACCAAGTGGCAGCAACCTCCTCGGCGGTTTATGCAGTCTGTTGCTTGTGTGGGAGGTGAACTTGAAGATAGGCTTTTCTGGCGGATGTTCATGTCTCTTATCTCACTCTGTCTCAGTCTTGACAGGAATGTGGGATACCTTCGGGAAACCGTGGGGAACAGTGACCAGAGTTCACATTAGTTGGGTCATTATGCCCACTTGTACTAAGGTTCTCATTACAAAGAAGGGTGCTTCACCAGGTCTAGTGCCAAGGAGTTAAAGGCATCGAGCTGAGAAGAAGTCCATCTCTGTGAGTCAAATATATCCCTCAGCTATGGCTCCCTGAACAGGTGCCAGCATGGTGCTTCTGGAAACGCCCTCTGTGCTGAATTTCCCACTCCACCAACCATGGTTACTAGTAAGTCTTACATAGGCTTAGAAACGACAGCAAAACAAAACAAAAACTCGGCCGGGCGTTGGTGGCGCATGCCTTTAATCCCAGCACTTGGGAGGCAGAGGCAGGCGGATCTCTGTGAGTCGAGGCCAGCCTGGTCTACAAGAGCTAGTTCCAGGACAGCCTCCAAAGCCACAGAGAAACCCTGTCTCGAAAAACCAAAAAAAACAAAACAAAACAAAACAAAAAAACAAAAACAAAAACTCAACTCTGAATGAAGAGTAGAGAGTTCATATGGACCTGAGACCTCCCAGACTGGAACTCTGGGTGACCTACCTGGTGGGTCTGAGAACACTTAGTTGAGTCCAGGCTATGGCCACCTGAGCCACTGTGGATCAGGCCCAACAGAAGTGACAGGTACTCAGCAGGTGGCCTGAGAGACAGAGCTAAACCCTAACTCACTGTGCCTGTGGGTGTGTGCAGGTTCTCTCACAAAGCACTTTTTTTTTTTTTTGGAAAGTGACTCCACTCATCCCCCTGGAAGTGACATCTAAGCTGCACAATAGAGACCTTTTACCCCCAGATATGTGACCTGGAACCCCAGAAACAACCAAGACAAAAATTCCATAACTGGGGAAGGGTCCCTAGAGGCAGGCCACGGACTGGGAGATTGGGGTGACCTGGCCAGGGTGACTTTAAAAAATGAACTGAGAGCCTTAGGGAACCCATGGCCTGAGTCTGCAGTCCTCAGCCTTTTAAGGAAGGCTGGCTTCCTCAAGGACAGAAGCACAAGGAGAAATCTAAAGCCAGCAATGTTCCCAGGGTCACGTAGGAGAGTGGGCCACGCCTGGGACAGCCTGAGCCTTGAGTTGTGTTCACATTTGTCCCCAGCTGACTGCTCTTATTCTTTCAAAATGAGCAGAGCAAGTATCCTTGGGGCTAGGGATGGGTGGTAGCTACAGGCAAGCAGGAATAGGGACGCCTGGAGAAGAGTAGGTGAGAGTGAAGGAGAGGAAGTGGTGTAGTTGCCTGTGGGGGCAGGGAAGAGAGACAACCCTAGCTCCAAACAGCTGGCGGGTTCCTATGGGGCCCCACGGCCTCCTATCAGGCCTCCAGCTCTGGGACTCTGCAACAGAACCCTCTGGACACCTCAGGGATGAGTGTCCCAACTGGGCTCTGTACTCAGGCTGGAATTCTAGAGCCTGGGCAAGCTTCTCCTTCCCAACCAGATGAGGAAAGAATGAACCCCCAACTCTTGTGCCCTGAAAGATTCCTGGACTGGGAAAGGCAATTGGGCAGCCTAGTTGGCCCCCAAGAAAGCAATGGAAATGGTGTCCTGGGGAAATTGTTTCCACAGGGACATCAAAGATAGAGGGAAGGATCCCTTTCAGGAAGGGGTTAGTCTATGTGTCAACCTGGCCAGGCTACAGTCCTACTTATTCAGCGCCTACTATAGGCGTTGCTTGGTGGTATTCTGCAGCTGTAGTTTGTAGCCACTATCCATAGTTAGCAAAGACGAGTGCTCTTGTAGGCCTCACCCAAGCAGTGGAAGGCCTAAGGAGCAAAACAGACACTTCCTCAAGGCGACTTACCTAAGGGAAAAAGAATCCTGCCTTGGGGTCTGCAGCTTGCTGGCCTGCCCTGCAGATCCCAGAATGGCACACCCAGCCTTGGTCCTGCAAATTTCTTTACATACACTTTCCTCTTCCTAGAAGGAGACTGGCTGGCACCAGGAGGAAGCCTCATAGTGACTACACATCCCTCTGCTCATTTTCTACTTTTGAGAATTGTACATGGACTCAGAGATTGTAACTGACATTTAAAATATGGTTCTCTGCATTCTTATACAGGACCCTGCTCCGGCTCATGGAAGCAGTCAGGGAGGACCCTGAGACATGCTGGAGGAACTCTGAGCTAGGCTCACTGAGCTAAAAGAGCTGGGCAAGAGAGAGAAGCAACATAGTTTCACACAATAGTCTAGAATGCAGTGTGCACTTCAAACAGCACACACAAGTGTGTTCTGGAGACTGGCCAGAAGCCTGGGAGATGGCTCAATCAGTAAAGTGCAAGTATGAAGACCAGCATGTAAATTCAGGAGCACCAGTGTGTGCCTATGATCCTAGCCCAGAGACATGGAAGCCCCAAGAGGATCCATGGGGCTTGCTGGCCAGACAGTCTAACTGAATCAGGGAGCTCTGTATTTGGTGAGAGAACCTGTCTCAAAAAAAAAAAGTATGGTAGAGGCCGGGCAGTGGTGGCGCACACCTTTAATCCCAGCACTTGGGAAGCAGAGGCAGACAGATCTCTGTGAGTTGGAGGACAGCCTGGTCTACAAAGCAAGTTCCAGGACAGGTTCCAATGTCTCACAAAACAAAAAACAAAACAAACAAACAACAACAAAAAAACCCCACAGTTTATGTGCCTGACAGACTTACAAAATACATCCAACCAACAGATAGGACAGTCTCATGATCTGAAATATTCCTTGAAATCCCTTCCCCTCAGCACTTCCATTCTGATCCTGTCTCCAGAGATTCCATTTGCTTTTGCCTATTTTGAATTTCATATACATGAATGCACGCTGGCCTTCTTCTTTTCTCCTTTATTCATTCATTCATTTTGCCATACTGTAGAATGGTATGAGACTAGAAGTATATATGAGGAGTGCCCGTGGGCACAGCTTTTCTGTGCCGGGTGTCATCCGGGAGGCAGAGGCAGGTGGATCTCTGTGAGTTCGAAACCAGTCTGGTCTACAAGAGCTAGTGTCAGGACAGCCTCCAAAGCCACAGAGTAACCCTGTCTTGAAAAACCAAAAAAAAAGTCATGACTTAGTCATCTCTGAACCTACTCCCACACACACCTGCTATGTTACCTCCAGAGTGAGGAGACGTGTGAGTTGGGGGTGATAAACAGTCACCTGAATAGAGAAACTGTGTAGTTAGTCCAGGGCTCACAGGACAGGTCCCCTCTGTCTTCTGGTATTGGCATTGAAAGTCACCACCACCAAAGGCACAGGTTCCATGCAGGACTCAATGCAAGATGCACCAAGGGCATTAGGGACATGATTTAAAACCACCACAGGTGGTTTTTTTCCTACCATGCAGGAAGCCCTGGGTTCGATCCCTAGTGCCACAGAAATAAAATGGCCACAAGACATCTGTGAAGTGAGTATCTGTAGTTCAGTGAGGGCTGCTGTGGAGCCAGACACGCTGAGTCCACATAGATAATTTGACATAAAAACTACATTTCCATAGAAATGTAAAAGAGAACCACACAAGCAGAAGTTCCAGGCCTGGGCTGGTGTTGGCTGGGGGTCCTATGTCCACGTGCCTTCCAAAGTGCCACCCTCCAAGGCTGAACCTTGCCCAATCCTGATGGCAAGTCCTAACTCAGCCTCTGAGCCACTCTGGACCTTCTGTTCTACCTCGGCAACTGGAGCCTGAGCATCACTGGGGATGCTCCTGCCATCCTCCTCACAGATGCCAGGCTTGGCCTCCACGTAGCCTCTGGACACTAGCACATTTCTGTGAGAAAAGAGGGTCCATGTGAGCTTCTTCTGCACTGTTCCTCTCCAAGGTGTGACATGAGCAGTTACCAGACATAAGGACAGAGTTTCTTTTGTCCTCAGCCTGCCAGGAGTCACCACCCCTCAGAAGCTAACAACAGAGTCCCTTAAAAGCTGCATGCCAGGGTTTACCAGGTTCTCTGTTCTGAGGGTTGTTCAGGGCAGTAAAAATGTGTGAAGAGGCTACATGTGGGGCACATAGCCCACCCACAGACTGCTGCGTAGTAACAAGGAGCTGGCGCTCCGTGGAAAGGGACATGGAAGGAGAAAATACCCAGGAACATGGGGCACTAATCAATAATCCTCGCTCCTCATTTTGCAAATGGAGCATTGAAGTCTGGAGACAGGAAGGACTCTTCTGAGGTCACTCACATACATTACGAGTGGCCTGATCTCCTCCCGGACCCTGCCCTGTGGTCAGCTGTCTTTCCATTCTGCAAGCTCAGCTCACGATGCTCCAGAGCGGTGGCTGAAAGGGTGAGAACTCTGGCTGGTGGCAGGAGGGTAGGACATAAACGCTGACCACACAGCACACCTCTCTGGCCAGCATTCTAGATCTCATTAAATTCCAGCAGCCCCCAGGATGGGCAGATGCAGAGTGGGTCCTTGGGGTCCCTCCCCTACAGAACATGAGCCTGCCATGTGTGGTATGAGGCAGGAGTGGAGCTGATAGGAAATAAGGCTGGAGGCCCATCCAGGGCCAGATAACACCAAGTCCTGGATTAAAATGCCTCACCTGGGGGATGATGTGTGGCACTCCAGGTTATAGGCACTCCTGGTGATAGTAAGCAGGCAAACTTTAGGTCAGGCTTTGGAGGGAGAGGAAGAAGAGGATGAAGTGGGGGAACCAGGCAGAAGGCTAGTCCAGAGGTCTGAGGGAGACTTGGTGAGGGTCTCAGCCAGACGGGTTTAAATTATGAGGGGCTATATGAGCCAAAGTCATTAGGCCATCAGGATACATTTTTCAAAGAAAATCAAGAGCCTTTCTCCCCAAGTACCCTCATTTTAGAAGCAAAATTTAAAATTTGAGCTTACTGGTTTTAGGGCATGGGCGAGGTTGGCTGCTGGCAGAATGGTCACAGAAAACAAGCAGCTAAGGGCAGCTGGGAGGCTGAGGTCAGTCTGCTCTGGACAGGCCAGATTTCTGTGGTTCTGAGTGACCATCAGCTGGCCACAGACCTTCTAGCAGGCAAGCTGGCAGGCAGTCCAGCAGGCTACAGGTTACAGACTGGGTGCCACCCCTGGGTTCAGCAGGGTTCACAAAGGTAAGATTGGAGCCTTATTCCCCCTGCCTGCCTCCCTCCCTCCCTCCCTCCCTCCCCCCTTCCTCCCTCCCCCCTCTCTCCCTCCCTCCCTCTCTCTCCTTCCCTCTATCCCTTCCCTCCCCTGCATTAGAATTCAAATTCTTAGCCCCTGCTTCAGCTTCATGTCTGCCTGCGGCTGCCATACTCCCTGCCATGGTTATGGAGTCACTCTCTGAAACTATAAGCAAGCCCTCAGCTAATGCTTTCTTGTGCAGGGGCCATGCTAATCTTCTCTGTATCATTCCAATTTTAGTATATGTGTTGCCAAAGCGAGCACTAATGCTTTCTTTATAAGCTGTCTTGTGTCTCTTCACAGCAACAGAACAGTAAGTAAGGTACCATGATTATTTTAGATTCATTTTCTATGCTTGAATGGTTGACTTTTGGTTCTGTAAGCCAAACCCAGAGCCTTGCAAATATTAAGTGTACCCTGTGTACCATGAATCAATGAATAACACCCCACACCCTTATTTTTAGGCTTTATGACACTAGGAACAATTTCTCACTAGGACAACATATAACACAAAGTTCTCAGCCTGTGGGAGTTGAGCCTCCAATACTGATGAGAATATAGTATGCTTATAAAAACAAGCAAACAAAAAAGATTGGAGCCTCTTCCCAATTCTTGCTGCCTACTTTGTGTGTTTAGAGGGTACTGAAGTCTCCAGAGAGGAGATGGCATTGTGCTGGTAAGGTCACCAAGAGGGACACCTTATTCATTTCTGGGAGAGCATCATTAGCCACAAATGTCAAGATTTGAAGTGTCTATTGGTGCAGAACACAGGTTCAAAGTATTTCTGCACACTTAGATACTTTATCCTCATAAGGCCCTGGGAGTTCATAGCAACTGTAAAGCTAGGCTGACAAACTTAAAGCTGTGTCACTGTTCACAAAGCTTCAGGCTCCAAAGGGCTGAGTTGAAACCCTATTCTGATGCTGATAGTCCTAAGATCTAAGGTAAGGTATTCCCTCTCTCTGACTCTCAGTTTTCTCATCTGCGGAGTCAGTTTGTAGAACTGCCTCACAGGGCCTCTGGGACAGTGGCATTTTGCCTGGAGGACATTTCTAGCATCAGGAGAATTTGCCCCTGGGTTCAGGAGACTGAGATCTTAGTTTTGAAGTGACAGATAAGCAGACATAAGAGGGCAAACCACATGTCTTTTGTTGTTTTTCTGGTTGGCTGGCATTTTACATACCCAGCTGGTGTTTCCAGCTGCCACTTGGGGCCAGAAGGACCTTTCCTCCCCATTCCTAAGTGACACAGCATCTGTACAATGACTGAAGGCCATCTGGACAGCATCCAGGTAGGCCTTTTAGAAACATTTTTAGAGAGTGGGAGGGTAATCCTAAAGAAGTCCGGGTGTGGTATGATGAGAGCCCAGAGTCTAGCCAAACCGCCTACTCTGTGATCTCAGGCAAGCTAGCGAGCTAACCCTCACTGAGCCTCGTTCCTTCAGTCAGTGGAGATCTGGGGTGAATCAGACAGGCCCTTCCAAGTAGCTCTCCTAGTTCTGAGTTTTATGAGGGAAGTGGACAGGGAGACAGTGACAAGCAGTGTGAGCCCTTAAGCTGGGAGAAGCATGAACCTGGGTGGCGGTGGGGTTCATGGAAGAGGGGAGACCAAGAGTCATAGCTCTCGTCTCTTCCACTGGGAACTCAGACGGAGTTTTTGTTTCAGAGGTTAATTGATTTTAAATTAAGATTTGGTATAAGAGCAGTACATGGTGGAAACGCTCAATAAAACGGAATAGTTTCCAGTGAAAACCCTTTCTCTGCCATTCCCAGGAGGACTTGGTTGTTCACAACTTTTCAGTGTGAGCTCCTGGAAGCATCTGAGAGTATGGAAGCATGTGTGAGCAATCAAGAGCTGGAGTAGCCAGTGGTGGTGGCACATGCTGGTAGGATTTGCTGAAGGAAGCTGAGGCTGGAGGAAGGATCATGAGTTCAAGGCCAACCTCTGCTACACATTTTAGCTGGGCGGTGGTGGTACATGCGTTTAATCCAGGTACCTAGGAGGCAGAGGCAGGCAGATATCTGTGAGTTTGAGACCAGCCTGGTCTACAGAGAGTCCAAGGAGACCCGAAGCTACACAGAGAAACCCTGTGTAAAAAAAAAATCAAAAAATAAATAAAAACACAAAAAGAGTTGGAATAAGTGATAGTAGTGGCTGCCTGCTGGGTGGTCACACACTGTGCTCATTCCCTGAGCTGTGGCCTCAGACATATCTTTAATCCAGGTAATGCTTGAAGGTTTCTGGGAGCAACCAAGGATGAGAGCAGGTGAGAGCAATAGTCCCTGGTACCTTTTCCCAACATGCCCAGTTCCATGACACACACTTCGAGTTCCTTGTCCTTCTCCACCTTCCTGTGGTGGTTACATGTGGCTTTAGCTGTGGAAACTGAGGCTAGGAGGAGCAAGGTGACTTTGGATACTATGTGGCCATCCAAGGCCATTCTGTGTTGTGATGGTACCCACAGGACTCTGGAGCATGAAGGACTACTGAGTCCTGGTTTCTGAAGGTGTGCAGGCAGCATTAACCACAACTCAGGCAAGCTGGAGGCAGATGTGGAAATCAGGCCAAAGAACCGCCCAGCCTCTGACCTTGGGACTCTCTGGCGTCGATCCTGAAGTGCAATGTCAGCCCCTGCCCACACAGGTGGTGATATGGGTGGCCATGTAGGCACCTTTGACCTGGTGATCTTTAACTAGATGACTCAGCTTGGGAGACGGGGCGTCATGCTGAGTCACACACACTCTGACAGATGGAAGACTGTGCCCGTAGCAAGTCACTCCATCTTTCTCTTCTCTTTTTATAGACTGAAATTAAGCAGAGCATGGAAGGGCATGTGTGTAATCCCAACACTCAAGAGTTAAAGGCCGGAGGATCACTGTGAGTTCAATACTAGCCCATTTGTTGTTAAAACTGAGGTAAAATGCACACCACAGATACTTAGTCATTTAAAGTGCCAGTTCTGTGGCATGTATCCACCTACAACATTGTGTGACTGTCATCTCTGTGTAGTTCTAAAACATGTCCCTCTCTCCAAAGGTGACCTCACATCTATTTATTTGTTTATTTCTCAAGTGCTGGGGATGGAAACCAGACATGCCTGGCAAGTACTCTACAGCTTAGCCCCCATCAAAGCTAGAACTCCATGCCTACCACATGTCCACCCCTGATCCTCCCCCTGTCCCTTCCCTAGCAACTGCTGAGCTGCCTCATCCCTACTGGCTTCCTGTGGAATCACACAGTGCAGTATTCAGCCTCTGGTGGCTGGCATTTCTCGTGGAGCCTGTCTCGAAGGCCAACAGGTTTGCAGCAGATGCCTGCGTGTTGCTTCCTTCCATGGCTGTCCCAGACCCCACTCAGTGGGTGACCTTTCTCACTGCCCTCTGGTAAAAGTCTCTCCAATTCAGTCATCTGAAGCTTACAACATGAAGTCCTCATCTAGTGTGTGGCTCTCATCCTTGTTTCCACGAGGCATTTATTGAGCACTTACTGCATACTGTTCTTAATGTTTTATCTATTTTCACTCAGGGTGCTTTTTGTCGGTTCTTAGTCCCTCCAGTAGCTGGGGTGGGCCAGATGATCAGTTCCAGAGACAGGAAACGGACAGCCGAGGAGTTATCTATAGAGGAGGACTTGAGGCCAGGCCAGCCTGAGCCTGATTCATGCCACACATGCCCCTGGTCTATGCCCTTGCCTGGATGCGTGCAGACTTCACCCTGGGCTGGGCACAGTGGAGACTTTCACTTTCCTTTCCCTAGAGCTTCCTCTGCTTCACCTTTCAGTCACTCATTTGTTTTTACAATGACCAATCGGAAACAGAAGACGTAACTCTAGAGTCAGGACTGAAATGAAATTGCTGACGGTGAATTCCGTGGAAAGCTAGATTTTAACCAGTTCATGTGGCAAAACCACCCAGAGGGCCGCCCACCACCAGGGTGGCAGGGCTCCTTGGGCCAACAGGAAGACTACAGTATAAATTTGGTATTGTTTTAGCTTTTCCACTTTTATTCTTCTTTGGCTGGTCTTTTCGGTTTTTGAGACAGGGTCTCACTGTGGGGCCCTAGCTAGCCCACAACTCTATGGAGACCAAGCTGGCCTCAAGTTTGCTGCAAACCCCCTGCCTCTGCCCCTCCAGTGCTGGGATTAGAGGCATGTGCCATCATACCTTCTGCTTTCACTCCTAAGGTGAGCAAGAATCTTTTGTACATTCATACAGGAAGCCAAACTTCCTAGCTCGTACCTTTTACCTTGGGCCCAGCTGGCAGGCAAACCTGAACCCTGTGCAAGGTAAGACCTGGGCACCCACACTGAAACTCTTGTTGAGATAGTCTTTCACCTTAGGACCTTTCTGACTCAGCGTTGTGCCACCCCACCCCACCCCAGAAACCCTCTGAGCCTAGAAAAGAAAGTAAACCGTGCCTGGCCCAGAGCCAGCACAGAGTCTACAGATGAAGTCAAACCAGAGCTTCCAACCTCAGACCACTTCGAGCCTCCAGCAGGCCCCTGTATAGGTGCACCCCAGCCTGGATCCGCAACTCTCCTGGTGCTGCCCACCCGCTCCCCCAACTCTCGGCCTGTGCTCCGCCTTCTACCCTGAGCTATGTCACCCCCACATTCTCGCAGGCACCAACCGCCATGCGCAGGGGCGCAGTCACAGGAGACAGCTGCAGGCACAGGGTGCTGGCCCTGGCTACAGCGTGGCAGGTGCTTCTATGCCCTTGTTTGGGGTAGTCCTCACCACCTCCCGAGGAGGCAGGAATTGCCCGCTTTGCCTCCCTTGCCTGATTTCTCAGTTATAAGGGGCCAGTCATATAGCATGAGAAACCACTCAGAATGGTTACTGCTGCTAAGGGCATGCAGCCCACCGTCAGTTGGCATCCAGCGGTCCTCCATCCTCCATGCTAGCCCTACCATGTTCTGGCTCTGCTTCCCAGTGGGAGTGAGTCTTCAAGGACCAGCAAAGAGCTCCTTGTGAAGCAGCCATCTGTGCACAGTGAGTCGACTAGAGCACCAGATGGCCAGTGTTCTAACCCAGGTCTGTCACGTACTCTCAGTGTGATCCTGGGCAAGTTTCCTGACCCCTCTGTGCCACTTCCTCCTTCCTGGCATGAGTAGCAAGAGGAGAAGTCAGTTTAGGAGTGGCTGTAGGACACCTTGATTGGACCTATTCCCTCCGTCTTGCAAACATCCTGAGTTACAGGGCCCATGCTTACTGAAAGTGACCCCCTGTTGCTCAAATTTCTTCCCTGGGGAAGCATAAAGCCACATCTACCCCTCCTCCCGGGGTCCCAACAAAAAACTAAGGCATGGTTCTGCCAAAGTTCACCCTAGGGAACTAATGAACCTATTGGGCTTCCTTACAGAGCCTAGGTGGGGTTACTTACAGGGGTACGGGCACCCCTCCCACAACCTGCTGCACATGAAGAGCATTACTCAGGTCAGCTGGGGGCTTCCTCACAGCCATGTGAATGAAGTCCTCACTCTAGTCATCCTGGCCTTTGTATACTCTACCCCCCACCCCCAGGCCACAATGCCTAGTGGTAGGACACAAACAACTGGATACTCGGGTGAGAACCCCAGCCTTGCCCTGCCCCTCGATGTGAGAGTGGACGCGTCAAAAAGCTGAGATGACCTTTTGGGGCAGCTGAACGCCCCAAAATGGCCATTGCTCGGCTCAGAGGGCAGTCGCTCGCGACACCCCCTTACGGGGCAAAGGGTGGAAGTTGGACTCCTGGACAGGACCGAGGCTCTCTGGTAGTCAGATTGTTAGGGAAGGGAGATGGACAACTAAGTCCTTCATGGAAGTGCAAGGTGGCACAGCAGAGGCATGGGGGGAGGAAGCTGCTTCTGACCCCACAGCCACCTCGGCTTTTGGCAGGACACCCAGGGTTGAGCTGACCCGCCCTGAGCCACAGCTGCCAGGAAAACAGGTCAGAGAGGGCGGACCCTGGCAGGGTGACACTGGAGACCTCCTTGGTGTCTCCAGCAGGGTGGTGGGAGCAGGCTGGCTGGGCTGCACCCTGTTCTTCTTGGAGCTGTCATTCTTCCCTGAGGACCAGGCCACCCAACATGTTTGTAGGCCAGTACCAGAACTACAGCATCTATGGTGGGTGGCAGCCCTGTCCCTACTCAGCTGCCCTGACAAACCCTCGCCAAGAAGCAGGCCCGGCCTCATTCCCTCCGTGTGAGGTAGACTGGTTCTGAGGTTCAGTTTCCCAATTGACAGGAACTTCTGCCTCACTGAGTCCCTGGAAGCCGGGTAGAGAATGTGCATTTCAACAGCTCAGGCTGGGAAGGTCTGCTGCCGTCCCTGTTACCGACCTATTATCAGGGTCGATGGAGGGTGACTGCTAGATTCAGGAGGAGTCAGAGATTTGCATTCTTAGCTCTGCTTCTAGTAGCTGAGTATCTTCAAAAAAGAACCCTTTTGAGCCTCAGTTTCTCCACCTGTAAATTTTTTGAGCTGGGGAGTCTTTGGGGCCTAAGGTGACCAGGCTTGGGGAAAGGACCACCCCAAAGGGGATTAGAACCACATAAGGTTTTCTTGGCAGTCACAAGCATCATCCTCAGAGACCAAGGCCAAGCTACTCCCTGGTCTCCTGAGGCCACCCTGCCTTGGCTGATCTCCTAGACCACTGCCTAAAGTCAGCCTTGAGGTCCTTCCTACAGCCCTACCCCAGCTTAGCATGAGCCCCACTGCTTAGGAGGTATCTCGCTGTCCATGCTGGATGTGTGGCTTCAGGAGACACAAGCCAGTGGAGGCTGGTGACAAACACATTGAGTGAGTGCCACCAAGATGGGCAGAAAGGCAAACATGAGGGTGGGGGCTCAGGACCAGGGGTTCAGACAGAGCTAACCCAGGGAGGCAACTTGTGGCCGGGCCTTGGGGGACTCCCTGACTTACTTCTGCCCCTGGCACTGCTTCCTACATTCTCATTTTCCTCTGCCCCACCCCACACCAGGGTCCAGCACAGCAAGTGTCATAGCGCCTGTGAGCGCTACAGCTGAGGTAAACAAGTGAATGCATGAGACAAAATGAAGAGATCCACAGTATCCTGCCAGACTCCAGGATGCACTCAGTGAAAGACAAACAAACAAACAAACACTTCACTGTGGCAGACGACAAACCCCAGTATGGAAGACTATGGGGAAATTTGATGTCCCACTGGTGGACAGCCCCCTTGGCTTCTGAGCCTGGTAGCTCAAGGTTCCTCTCCCCAGCCTGAACAGCCTGAGGGCAGGGCCATCATCACAAAGGCTTGCAGTGCCCTGTGACCTTGGCTCCCAGGGACCTGAGAGTGACAGCCTTAGCTAACACGGAGACCACATCTGCTCAGGCATTACCCTGGGACCCAGAAGTGACACACCTCAGGGCTTATGGCGAGGCTCCCTTTTATATTTATGCCTGAGCGCCATGGTGCCAGCCATGCTGGCTACTGGCACCGTCTCTAATTATTGTGTCTGTCCCCACACCCTGCCGCAGTTCCATCTGCCTGAATGGACTCATTAAAGTCGTATAAAAGGAAGTGACAGGGTGCTAAGTCACCAACAAGGGAGAAGCTTCCCAGAGCCCTCCCTCCTCCAGCAGGGGTGAGGACAGAGAGGCTGTGTCTGCCAGGAAAGCCTGACAGGGCTGCAGCCAGCGCTTCCTGAAAAGGGAGGTGTATGACAGAGACTGCGGAGAGATGGGGGTGGCGAAGGACATGGAAGCAGGGACAGGGACAGAAAAAGAGGAGAAGCTTAAGAGAGGCTGGGAGCAGCTGACAGGAAGGGGTGCGGCTGGATGAAATGCCTTAAAAGAGCTTGGGCTGAACACCAGAGGCTCCGGGTCTGGGCCCAGCCAGCCCGGCCCAAGCCTGGGCAAGTGTTGGGAGGTGGAGAGAAGGCAGAGAGCTGGAAAAACTTCCTGGTGCCCCCTCACTGTTCCCATGGGAAGCCCACCTGTGCATGCCCCTCTCGCTCACAGGCAAACACATACAGCTCTGCCCCACACCTCCTTCCCTCTCGTGTACACCTTCACAAACACACAGCTCTGCTGACGCGGTATCGAGCACCCTGCACACACCACAGGGCATACTGATGTGGAGGACTGGGCTCTTTGGCTCAGTTGTCCACACACAGGTTAGCATGACAGGGACTTGATTAGCTGGGGAAGCAAACACAGAGCCAGCCACAGGCAGCTATGCCTAGCACTCTGGTCCCTCAGGGGGTTATCAGTCCAGGCCTAAAGTACACGTGTGGCCTTGGAACCTTCTAGATCGTCAGCAGGGCAGATTCTCCCTAAAGATGCCATATAGACGGAGTGCCAGAGCCGATCTCTCCCACCATTTATTCATTCCGTCACCCAGGCATCAGCAAGTAGCTGTCCCTTCAGTCACCCACATCCCTTGTTTTGAGGAAGGCCAAACCTCCCTGAGGGGTTTTCTCATTCAGGGCTTCTGG